ACCAGCCTGGGGTCGCACCCCCCCTCTTTCCCGCACCCGCGTGTGGCGCCGCGACCCCGTCCCGTGCCTCCCCTCCCCGGCGGGGAGGAAGGCGGCGGCAGCCAGGTGGCAGTGCCCCAGCTCGCCCCAGCCGGGTGTCTGCGCAGCAATGCGGGCAGCCCCCCGCCAGCTGCCCCAGCGAATCACGTTGCGTTAGCGCTGGGCGGGCCCTGCCAGACAACCTGCTCTACACAGCCAGGGAAACTGAGGCGCGGGCAGGCGTGAAACCTCTTTCGAAACCACGGTGGCGCTTCGATAGCTCTGGAGCCCTGACGTTCTCCACCCAGGCTGCCGGGCGGAGAAGGAGGAGAAGCGCACAGCTCCCAGGCAAGGAAGTCAGGGACCGCTACTCGGAGGCGGTGGCGTTCTTCTTCTGGGAGATGCGTTGACCCGTATTCTGCTAAAGCGGGCCGGATCTTCCTCTCCCAGCGCCTCCCAATAACCTCCGCCGGAAAAACGGCAACGAGTTTCTTACCGTGGCCCACGATGTGAGCTGGCTGTGATGCTGTCAGTCTCCCCAGTTCCACTGGCTCCCTACTAGCCAGCACCCCTTCACCCAACAATGGCATCCTGGGGTGTCCTCCCCCCCACTCTTCCGAGGACCAACCCAGTGCTGTCCCCCCACCCCGCCGCATGGGCTCCCACCCCCGCCCCCCAGCTCTGCAGGCCTTGCCTTTAAAAACCGGGTCAGCTGCTATCTTTCACTGGCTTCAGGGAAGAATTGAGCCTCACTCTCTCACCAGTGCCTAACGCCTCCAAACACTGGGCTCGAATCTGCTTTTGCACGTGTTGTTTCCCGGGTCATCATAGTTGCTTACTAAAGCACGCATTAACGGGACGAAGTAGAGAGTTTTTCATCCCCCCACCCCCCCACCCCGCTACCACACAGAATGTCCAGAAGAGGAAGCTGACCGGGAAGGGTGCAGACCAGGTGAGCGCCTGAACCAAAACCAGAGCTCTATCTCTGGAATCAACCTTGATCTGTCAGCATCCGCCCCGCTTGTTTGCCAGGTTGGAGACTAGGGTGTGCCTGGATAGAGGCAAGAAGGCGGGAAGATTTAGGGCTGCTTTATTGGACGTGCCAGCCTCCCGCCCTCTTCCTGCCCACACTCAGGAGGGCTGCCCCTTCCTGCCCACACTCAGGAGGGCTGCCCCTTCCCTGCCAAGGGCTGTCAGAGGAGGAAACAGTCCCCAGCACCTGCTCAAACTTGAGCAGCAAGGCAAGAGCTTCCTTCTCCAGCCTGAGCTTCCCAGAACCGCAGGGTGTGATTTCACTCTTTGGGCTCACTGCCAGCACGCTTTTAAGGAACGATTCATGCCAAAGAGAGCTACACGTGGTCTGAGAGCACTGGACTGGGAGTCAGGCATCCCGGGTTCTGGTCCAGGATTGAGTGACTTCAGAAGTCAACCTTACCAACCTGGTTTTGGACCCCAGCAAGTTATTTCATCCCAAGCTTGGTTTCCTCATCTAGACAAATGGGGATAGTGAAAATACTTATTTTCTAGGGAGGTTACGGTGACTGAAGAGATAATATTTTTTTAAGTGCCTGGTACAGTGGCTGGCTTCACGGGGAGAAAAAGCTAAACTTGCTGCTCCTTGGTTTCCCCACTTGTAAAAAACTGGGAGAAAATTGTGTGTGTGTGTGTGTGTGTGTGTGTGTGTGTGTGTGTGTCCCTTAAATGCCCAGGCAACCATTACTTACCTTCCTTCCAGCTCTTACAGGCTGCTGGCAGGCCTGTACTGGACTCCTTACATATAGATTTTTACATGGTTCAAATTAGCTTTTAGTAACTATTTGTTACTTTTTTTTAAGGTCAATGGCTTGATGCCAGTGACTCACATGACTACTCTGGAGGCTGGGATCTGTTAGGATCCAGTTCAAAGCCAACCCAGGCAGACAAATCCAGGAGGCCGTTACCTCCAATCAGGAGGAAAAGTACCAGGAATGGAGGTGTGGCACAAGTGGATACAATGCCAGCTTTGAGGGAAACAAGAGCACAAGGCCCTTAGTTCAATCTCTAGTACTGGTGTGCACGCCCCCCCCCCACACCAGCTCAAGGGTATGTGGCTCAAGTGATAGAATGCCTGCTTAGCAAGTGCCAAGCCCTAACATCAAACCCCAGTACTGTCAAGAAGAGCAATAGTAAAAGTTATTTACTCAACTTCTCTGAGACTCAGTTTGCCCCCTCTGTAAAAGAAGGCAAGCAGGGGTGCTGCTTCTCAAAGGAACTTGTAAGGATCAAACGAAACAATTTTGGAAAGTAAGTTGCTTGGCCCTATGCCTGGCAGGTGGAAAGTACCTGTCATCACCATCATCATCATCATCATCATCATCATCAGCTTTATTCTAGCATTAAGGACTAGAATACTCTTAGGGCTCCATTTTTCTGCTGCTGCTGGATACCAGAGTCCTGTGGGACAGATTCCAAGCTCTCCCTATTCAATTTGGCCCCTGACTGGTGCTAATGCTTTCTAGCCTAGAGGCCACATCTGTGAAGTTACAGAGCTCAAGTGTTGCTGTTCATTGCCTAGTCAAGGAGAGTGTCAAACAAATCCGCTCTGCCCACTCAACTTCCTCTCAGGGCCATATTTGCTGCCTGTGTTCCCCACAAATATACTTTTTCAAAGGCAGGTGACTTGCCTGTATTCCTAGATGCTCGGGAAGTTGTGATCTGGAGGATCACAATTTGAAGCCAGCTAGGGAAGAAGAGTCCTCCAAACTTTATCTCCAATTAACCAGCAAAATACTGGGCTGGAAGCATGGCTCAAGTGGTAGGGTGCTAGCAATGAATAAGCAAGCCAAACAATAGAAAGCTCTGGTACCAGTGAAACAAAACAGTGTAGAAAAGCCATCCATTTCCCAGTAATCTCTACAGCCTCAGAACAGGCTTCTGGCTGGAAGAAAATAGCTGAGAGAGTCCTTTATCCAAGCTACCTCATTTCTTTTCCAAAGTATCTTGTCCCAGGAATTATTTCATTACAGGCCAGTCCTGGTCTCTAGCCCTTCACCCTATCTAGTCCTTACAGGTATGGAGTCCTTTGAGATTAAAAACCTTCCAACTCTGTAATCCTAGTCCTCAGAAGACTGAAGCTGGGGATCTGGAGATTGAGACCAGCCAGAGCTACATGTCAAAACAAATAGACAAACAAAAAACAAACCGTCAGAAATCTAAAGTGCTAGCTGATCCTGTGCCCTCTCCTTCCTTCTTTGCCCATGCTCCTACATGGGCAAAGAAAAAGCCAGAGGCTGGTAAAACTATGGTTCCCTTCCCCCTTCCCACCCAGATGTGCTGGCAGGTTTCTAGTTCTCAGTCCTCCCAGCGGAGTGTGTGCCAGACACCTGAGCTTGTGTCGGCTCTAATCCTTTCAACAGCCCTCAGTAGGGTGAATCATGATGGCCATTTATGATGGAGGAAACTAGAGCTTAAGAGGGGTTAAAGTGATTAGCTCTAGACCCAGAAGCTAGAGCCCCAGAAGCTAGGGAGTCTGAGCTAACCACCCAGAGGAAGCTGGAACAGTGGCACATTTCTTAGTTTATGACTTCCAGGCGAAGGGCAATAATACTGCCAAACTTGGACTCCATGTGGCTCTGCTGTTACCTTCTTTGCTTTTTTATTGGACTCGCCTCCCAGGAGAGTAGTGAAAGTAAGCCCGTGCCCATCCAGCCCAAAGTCCACAGCTCTCCCCGTGCCACGGAAATGGCTTCAGTAAAATGAACCTGCCGTATTTGACTGGAATATTTTAGTCCCTCCCGACAAATGCTCAAAAGTGAAAACATCAGCATTTCTCCCTTCCGATAATAGAAATATGCTTGGTTCAGACACTGCGGCTGTAGTTCTCAAACTCTGGACTACATGACAGTGGCCTGAGATTTCTGGCCATGCCAGCGAGGATTTCAATTCAGCCATTCTGGTGTGGTCCCAGACATCATGGGCTCCTCCAGGTGGCTTTACTGCAAAAGACTACCTGGCAATCAACAGATGTTGAAGCAGCACCTACTCCATGATAGATACATCAATGAACTCAGCATCCACCATCCCTGCCCACTTTCTAGTCAATGCAACTGCTTAGGAAACTTGTTGAATGAGGAAGGGAAGACCAATAGTCTTGACAGTCACTGAGATTTCCTGCCAGCCACCCATGACTGTGTGATGCAATGACCCAGGCCAGGGGACCAGATGCTCATCTATGTCCTGGTTATGTCCAAGAGACAAGAGCTCAGGTCAAGCATTTGCTGTATATTGTTCCTTCTGAAATCCACCTCCATCTTCTGAGGAGTGACAGAACTTTAGAATTCTCAAGAGATAAGAGAAAGCATGCTACCACTGGCTTCATTGTACAGGTAGAAGAATGTGACCTTAGTCACACAGTCTAGACTGGCAGAATCAAGACTAGAAGTCAGGACTCCAGCTTATGTGTGTAACACTCTGGATTTCATTCTCTGCAAGTGTGATGGAATCTATTTTTGCTCCAGTACTGAGGCTTAAACCCAGAACCTTGCACTCTTGCTTGGCTTTTTTCTTTTTTGCTCAAGGCTGGTGCTCTAACATGTTTACCACACCTTCACTTCCAGTTCTTTGCTGGTTAATTGGAGATAAGAATCTTTCAGATGCCGGGAGCTGGTGGCTCACGCCTGTAATCCTAGCTACTCAGGAGGCTGAGATCTGAGGATCGTGGTTCAAAGCCAGCCCGGGCAGGAAAGACTGTGAGACTCCTAGCTCCAATAAACCACCAGAAAACCGGAAGTGACGCTGTAGCTCAAGTGGTAGAGCGCTTGCCTTGAG